ATTACAACAACACTCTCTTCTCCCTCTGCAACCACACCGAAACCCTAAATCCCACTCAATCAAAACAAAGAACGACGCGAATTCCTGATTCCTTGAAAAAATCTATCTACAACATCAAAAAAAGATCTCAATAATCAATCGCAGTAGAAAAAAACCCATACATCCCCAAAGTTTATGAATCGCCAACGAAACAGAAAAGGAAGCTTACCTTGGGAGAATCTTCGATCTTCAATCACTAAAGACTCGAGATATCAACAAAGAACACACCTCATCGACCCTCGATACTGAGGAAGAAAACCATCACCACTTTAGGGTTTTATGCAAAATTTCGCCCTTTTAAAAGGACGATGTTTTAAAAGCTTGGTCCTTTTTTGTATTTATCGTTTTCTAGTCAATGAAAGTAATAAAATTTGGGAAAATACAATTTTCGAAATTTAAATACTGCGGCGTAAAAGTGTCGTCACTTCGCATTCGCTTTAGATTCTCTCTCAATGGATCGTTTTCTCTCACCGGACTACAATTTTCCGGCGATCACTCGCTTTAACTTATCCGATTCTGTTCATCATCTTCCTGTATCATCGACGCCGTCTCCAGCTTCGGTACCCATCGTTCCTCTTTCGCCGGAGATGGAAGCAGTGGAGAAGATCGTGAAATACAGTTTCGTTAACAAGAATCTTCTCAAGGAAGCACTTACGCACACCTCTTGTGTTGATTTTCTTTCGTACGAGCGGCTTGAGTTCGTGGGCGATAGCGCTATAGGTCTTGCCCTCAGTAATTACCTCTACCTTAAGTACCCTAATCTCGAACCTCGCGAGCTGTCTCTTTTGAGAGCTGCTAATGTAAGCACTGAGAAACTCGCTCGTGTCGCACTCAAACATGGGCTTTACCAATTTCTTCGACGCAATGCTCCTCCTTTAGATGAAATGGTAACCCATCAATCTTGTAGCGGTTTCTGAATCTGCAAATAAAAACTTGTTTTTTGGTTGAGTTTTTTGCATTCAAGAGAGCCCTTTGAAGGGTTTTTGTTGGAAAAGAGTGATTCTTTGAGTGAATTGGGTTATTGAACATGTTTGATTGAGAACATGTTCTTATGATGTTGTCATTTCATAGGTTAAAGCGTTCTCAGAGGCGGTGGACAAAGAAGATGGTCCAGTTGCTTATGGTGGATTAGTGAAAGCTCCTAAAGTTCTCGCTGACGTAGTAGAGTCAGTAGCTGGAGCTATTTATATTGATGTGGATTTTGATCTACAAAGACTCTGGGTGGTCTGTGTCTACTACTACTTCTCATGTCTTCTGTTTCTGATTCTAGGTTATGTGATTCTGAAGTTTAAGGCTTCCTTATTGTTGATTATTGCAGATCTTCAGGGGTCTATTGGAGCCAATATTTACCCTGGACGATTTACAGCAGCAACCTCAACCTGTATCTATGCTTTTTAAATTATGTCATAAACACGACAAGCGAATCGACATCAGGTATTGGAAAGATGGCAAAAGCAGTATTGCTGGTGTATATCTTGATGATGAATTCTTTGCTTCTGGGCGTGCTGAGCATAAAGATATCGCAAAGCTGATTGCTGCTAAGGAAGCGTTAGGGAAGTTTTCGGAATCTATGCCTGTTGAAATGGTTATTGATGAGGGTAGTCAAGAGGTCGAACTTGAAGTTGCGAAAAGGAAGTTGTTTGAGATTTGTTCAAAGAAGAAGTGGCCGAAACCGATTTACAGGTATATCCTAGTCCTACATTTTAGAAGCATACACACACCTGAGATGTCATGTGCTTTTTTAGCCTAAATTGCTCTTTTCTTTGAGTCAAATTGATTCTATCATTGAGTAGTCCAGAGTTTTGTAATCTGGGGAAGCAAAATACATTTGCTAATCTATAGTTAAAATCTTACAATCTAAGGTAGAGAAAAGTCGTATATGCTCTAAAGCATACTCTTAAGATCAGTGTGAGTTTGCTTTGGGTGTCTCAATAACCACGAAGGCGTCCTATTAGCGTAAACCATTTTGTTACTGTGTTTGACTTTTTCAGTGTTGAGGAAGGGTCAAATGGGAAGAGATTTGTTTGTTCGGCTAATATTAAGATACCTGCCGTAGAAGGTACCTTATGTATGAAGGGTGATGAAAGATCAAAGAAAAAAGAAGCAGAAAGCTCCGCAGCCTACCACATGATAAGAGCTTTGAGGTGTTACAATTATCTCTAATGCGTCTTGCATGATTTGTAAAGTCAGTTGTACCTTTGAACCAAGCATTTCTCTTAACATTCTAAATCGCATTCGGGTCATTCAGAAGAAGCTTCTTATATGTATTATAGGGTGGTATGTGAGGGGAGGAAGCTCAGACTTGTGTCAGGCAAATGTCTATATATGTATCTTTTGATGTTTGGTGTATTTTTAGACCTTATAAGTGTCAGGCGAATAATTGATGCTGTTGGTTAGAACTTAAAATGAATGTTCACTTTGAATAACTTTGAAAGTTCGTGAATCACTTTCAATTTTTCTGTGTGTAGTTGTCAGAGAATTGGAACTATTTGTGTTTCAAATCCACCGTAAAGGAACTGAGGTAAAAGGTTTAACACTTGTAAGAAATCAAAATCTTTATAAAAATGAAACCTCTCTTTCTCTCATATCACAACAGCCCTAAGTACAGAAAACAAAGGACCAAAACAGAAGAAAATAATTAGTACAATAAACAAGCAATCAGAGTTTTGAGTATATTCCTCTTTATGTGGTTTTTTTCTGAACAAACATTAATACAGCTCCTGGCTTTATGGATTAGATACACAAACCCTCTCTCCTCTTGATCTCGAAAATCCCCGGTTTTGCACGAAAACAAACAAAAAGACTTTGATCCAGGAGCAATGTCCCCTAGAACAACCGCGGTTGTTGTGGATTTCCACTTCTCATCATCGCACAGAACTCTTCATAGTTGATTCTACCATCCTGCAACAGGAGCAAACAGTCATGGATAAAGCCTAGTGTTCTTGGAAGAAGAATAGGATAAAGAGAAGAGAATGATTATAACATACGTTATCCGAGTCGACATCTGAGAGAACTTCTTTGATTGTTGCATCATCTCCCATTCCATATTCCTTCAGTGCTGCTTCCAGTTCGTCTATCGTAATGTAACTGTGATTGTTGTGGATTATAAAGAAAGGTCTCACAATCTTGCTTATGAATACATCGGTTATGAAGAGAAAAAAACCGAGAAGAAACGGGTCACTTACCCACTGCTATCCTTGTCAAAATGCTGGAAGGCTTTGTAAAGATTCTCATTACTTTCAAGCCTGTGTCTATGCATTGTTGCAGTAATAAACTCGATGTAGTCGATTGATCCATTCCCATCAACATCAGCCTAATTTAATCACAATCCCGGGAATGTGAGTTCTTACATTTTATTTACTTTCTTCAAAAGACGAAGTGATTTTCGAACAACTTACAGCATCCATTAGCTGCTTCACTTCTGCCTCTGTGAGTTTAGATCCCAATTTGGCTAAACCTTCTTTCAGCTCTTCATATGTGATTGTGCCACTGTTATCTGTGTCTATGTTAGCAAACATTGCCTTCAATCCTTGGATTTCTTCCGTGTCAATATTCTCTGCTATGACCTATAAGAATCGTTTTATGAACACAACGGTAAAAGGACAAGCAAACAACACATTTCATATTTGAAAGTTTTGAAATTAACCTTTAAAGCAAGTTTCTTTAGCTTATTCATTGCTCTAAATTGTTTCATCCTTGACAGAACAGCACTGTCAATTGGCTTGTCCGATGCTTCTCCACCTTCTCTAAGCCATGGATGCTCTGCACGAAACAATGGACAACGTCTTAGGATCAAGAAGGATATAATAGAAACTTGCAAAACCTCACATTGTGTTGTGGCTTTCTAAAATGTCTTCAAAAGATATGCGGGTTACTTACGAAGAACATCAGCAGCAGAAATCCGCCTTTTTGGATCTGCAGTCAACATTCTACGTACCAAATCCTTGGCACTGCTGGAGATTGACGGCCATGGTTGGCTTTCAAAGTCAATATGGCCTTCCAATATAGCATCAAATATCCCTTTCTCGGTTTCTGCATATCCAGATAGACAGATGAAAAGCAACAACCACGTTTATCTATCAGTTGTTCTAGGCAACACAAAA